AAAGGGGATGACACGCAGCAAAGGGCCGCAGGTCAGATTTGAACCCTGGGCCGCTGCAGCAAGGACTCAGCCTCGGTACATGGGTCGCCAGCTCTACCCACTGAGCATCAACACATTTAGTTAATGAACAGATGAAGGCTTTTTACTCCCTTCTCACTAAAGGACTTAGTTATTGCTATACTATAACTTTCTCTCCAGTGGAGTGGGAATATACAGTACATTCATCTGACTGCAGCTAGGATCAGTCCACACACTGTACCATAACCTAATAGTTTAGCCTGGTGTAATATTGAATCATTGAGTATAAAGTTGTTGTAGAATACAATTCTTGAACTGCTCTGCTTTTGGCAGGTTGAGAAGCAGAGAGCAGATCTAACCAGAGAACTGGATGATCTCACTGACCGACTGGAGGAAGCAGGAGGGGTCACCGCCTCACAGGTAAACCATATACAGATCCAGCCACATAGGTTTGCAGGCTATGACACACCCTTGCTTATCTGATTGAAATGAATGGAGATATCCGGGTGGCATTCTGAGTGCCTGGTACAGTACATTCTAACAGACATACACACACACTTTGTATCTTTACATTTGTTGCAGCTGCACTAGATATGGATTAAATCTGAGAATGCATGTTTACTCCACACATCTGGACAACGCAGAGCAAATGATCCTGTGTGTGCCTTAAAACATAAGTTGTATCTTGGGGAGGATACAAGCTTGCCACCACCCGCACTGTACAACGAACTTACAGCCTGTGTGTGATTGACAGATGGAGGTGAACAAGAAGCGAGAGGCTGAGATGCAGCGTCTGAGGCGAGACCTGGAGGAGTCCTCCGTCCAGTCAGAGGCTCTGGCTGTGTCTCTGAGGAAACGACACAGTGATGCCATGGCGGAGCTGAGCGAGCAGTGCGAGGCTCTGCAGCGGGTCAGGGCCAAACTGGAGAAAGAGAAGCAGAACCTGAGGATGGAGGTGGACGAGCTGGCCGCTTCTCTGGACAATCTGCAGAAAGCCAAGGTCGCATGGTCACACGTAGTGAGGTTTACACTGGCCTGCTTAACAAGACAGTAACTTTGGGCTTATGTGACTTGTGAGTGTAACAAACTGCAATGTGCGCTGGTGTGTGTTTGTCCTGCAGACGTCCTCTGAAAGCCAGATGAAGAAGCTGGAGGAGCAGCTGTCAGAAGCCAACAGGAGAGGAGACGACCTGCAGAGGGCCCTGACTGAGCTCAGCGTGGCCAAGAACAGACTCACAGGTACTGTGCACCTGTAAGAGGTTCATTTCTCTTCATGTTCTGAGGCAGTAAACGCAAAGGTCCTAATCATCTAACACATTCACATGCTGATTCTTCAGTGTCTGAGCCAGGGTTTTGCCATATTTTGCATTTTTTATTGGCCCCAGAAAACTCAATTTCAAATCTTCAAAAATATTATCGATAAATACTTGTGATTAAAAAAGCAAGAATTAAAGTTATTTTATGTATGGCCCCAGAAGACACTGTGGAAGATCCTAGCATCACATATAGTAAAGATTGAGAATTTTGAGCTGCAGTCTGATTCTGTGATCAGACTCCTTAACTGCATCACATTGAGAGAAACATTACACAATATAATGTAATGCAGTGCAATGCCATCACTAACTCTGACCTAAGCACTAAAACATATAATTGAATTAACACCTGAGAGTGTCAACAAAAACTGAACATTATAGTTAGGTAGAATTTGTTGCAGAACAGTGGAATTGGATGAATTAGATTGCACTGGTCCCTTCTAAAGCAACTGAGTGTATTGTTTGTCCCAAACAGTAACCCCACATCCTATGACCTCTAAATAAAATCAAAAATGTCTTGGAGATTATAGAGAAAGGTAGAACTTACATAATAACTAAATAAATAAATAAACAAACGTCCGCTTAGACCCCGTTTCCTCCAAAAGACCCCAAGAATGTGAATATAAACATAACCTTTGTTTCCTTACAATAAAACTCCACAGGGCCCCTCTAAAAGAATACTTTGCAGAAGAGGCTTTTATTCTATACACTTCCCATAATGCAACCCAATAGTGTCTTTTTATTTCCAATGTTCTTTCAAACTCTATGTGCCTAGCTTATAATACAGGCTTTTTAGTGGTGTCACTTGAGCTATTTTCAGAGACCTGAAAGAGATCTTACGGAAAACAGAAGACATTAAACATCTGTTTTCACTGGCTGAGTAGTGCTGCTCACGACGGGTAAATTGACATTCACATATAAAAGCAGTGGAACAAAATAACATGACTTTTACCTTGTTTCCAATGACAAGAAAGTCTGCTTAGGTCCTATTTATATGATTATTATTAACTGGCAGATGAGTCCAACCAAAGAGATCATTACAATGACAAGGCAAAAAAAAATTATGCTTTTTTAAATGTTTATTTGTGTATAGCTGCAGAACCTGGCATAAGCACGGTGGTTAACCCCTATTGTATGCTATTGTACACTGGACAGTGGATAATCGATGCTCTTGTGTGTCCTATCAGCTGATAATGCAGACGTGGGTCGGCAGATGGAGGAGGCCGAGAGCAGAGCCAGCCAGCTGAGCCGCGCCAAGACCCTGCTCCAATCCCAAGTGGAAGAACTGAAGAAACAACTGGATGAGGAGGTCAAGGTCAGTGTGTTTGTGTTTCGAATGGAGGTCTAAAAAAATTAAATATCCAGTATGCAAATAAGTGCAAGCCTCCTGCTCAATGTCCCATACTGACATGTTCCTCTCTGGTGCGGCTGCCAGTATAAGCAGGCGGTCAGCAGCAGCCTGAGCTCGGCGCGGCAGGAGTGCGAGGTGCTGAAGGAGCAGCTGGAGGAGGAGCAGGAGAGCAAGCAGGAGCTGCAGCGCCTTGTCTCCAAACTCAACAGCGAGGTGACGCACTGGAGGAGCAGACATGAATCCGACACCATCCAGCACGCCGATGAGCTGGAGGACACCAAGTGCGTTGTGTTGATGCTGGCAGTCCACACTCACATTTGACACTTTGAATGTATCTCAGTAGGCTCAACTAATGTGTGTGTCACAGGAAGAAGCTGGCAACCAGGCTCCAGGAGGCGGAGGAGGCTGTGGAGGCCACCCAAGCCAAATGTTCTTCACTGGAGAAAACCAAACAGAGGTTGCAGGGAGAGGTGGAGGACCTCTGCATGGACCTGGAGAAGGTAGAGCTGGAGACATGTTGTGTGAGTTGCAATTGCAGTGCCATGAACATCTCTGTTGTTATCCTTGAGCATATGTTCCCCGTTGCAGGCCAGCAGCTGCGGTCAGGCTCTGGATAAGAAGCAGCGGATCCTGGAGAAGCAGCTCGGAGACTGGAAACAGAAGTGCGAGGAGCTGGTGGCCGAGGTGGAGGGCTGCCAGAAGGAGAGCAGGCAACACGCCAGCGAGCTCTTCAAACTCAAGACGGCACACGAAGAGTCTCTGGAGCAGCTGGAGGCCGTACGCAGGGAGAACAAGGCCTACCAGGGTATGAGAGTGTACATCTGAGGGTGCTGATGATTCTAGCGTTCTAGCAAGAGGAATATTAATTTTTTAATTAAATTCCTTCAATTCCTTTAGAGGTCTTGACTAGATTTGTGTGTGGCTTTTCTGTCTGACAGAGGAGATAGCTGACCTTACAGACCAGCTCTCAGATGGAGGTAAAAGTGTCCATGAGCTCCAGAAAGCAAAGAAGAAGATTGAGATGGAGAAAGAAGAGTTGCAGGCCTCACTGGAAGAGTCCGAGGCAGCTTTGGAGGTACATAGCTTTAGTAAATCTGTGTGTTAGCTGTGGTATTCAGAGCGTAGCGTGTTAGTCAGTATATGCTATTTGTTCTTCATTTTTATTACATTTTTCTTTCTTTCTGTCTTCCTTCCTTCATTCTTTCCAGGCTGAGGAGACCAAGGTGCTGAGGCTGCAACTGGAGTTGTCTCAGGCTAAAGGAGACCTGGAGCGCAGACTTCAGGAGAAGGAGGAAGAGACAGAAGCCACCAGGTACCTCAGCTTCCTCTCAATCCTTCATTGTCCTCAGCCCTAAGATATATCATCCACCACCACATCTCCTTCCAATGCTACACAGACCATATACAGTCATACTGACTTTTGGTTGCAATTCACATGGAACCGATGTCCTGCTCATCGGCCCTAAAATACCAAAGATCGGGAGATCTTTTTGAATGTAGCTTTAGTCTGGTGCCTCATATACAGAAAACTACCTTGTTTTTATAAACTGAGGAATATCAGCCTGGATTATAGTAATGTCTTCTTTATGTCCCAATGGTCGAGCTATGGAACAGCCCCAAACTGTACAGCATGTAGCCGACAGACCAGAGAAAAGGTCACCCCATTCTTCACTGCACTGGCTCCCATTCACTTTTAGAATTCATTTTAAGTAGCCATTAATCACATCCAAGGCCTTGCATGGTCTGGCACCAGAGTCTATAACTAAACTTCTAACCCCTTATTGTCCTAACAGCCTCCAGTCTATTAGCTGTATTGAGTCCAAGTTAAAACATTAAGGGTGATCAAGCGTTTGCTGTTTTGGCTCCAAAACAGCCTTCCATTTAGCATGATGTCAGCTAAAACTGCCTCGCTTACAAGACTTGTCTTGAAGGAATAGTTATAAGGAGTTCGGTCTA